ATTCTGAGAGATATTCCCATATTGCTTGGGCGCAAAGATACATATCAGAGAGGGAATAGCCTGCCTACATGTGGTGATGCTATCTTTCGTATTCCAATCTCTTGTACTTTCTATCTTTCTGCTCATGTAGATAGAAGGAACACTCCAACTGCAGCAGTGCGTCCTCAACTTCAACTTAGCAACCATATGTTTTGGGGGACTCTACAGCACTTTACAGAGGGAAGATGGGAAGCAGCATATGAAGGGACAGGCTGGCAATGCAAACAGCAACCCTCCAGATTCACTTAAGTCAGATTGAAAGTGTCAGAACATCTTGGATAGAAGGCAGAGCAGAGCAAGGGAGAGAAATGGCTGGCAGACTGTGTTTCATGGCCTGTCAGGCCAGGATACATTATCCCCTGGCCATACTGTTTCTCATTAGCCCCCTGATGTGCTGTGAAGCCCTGCCTGCCTGCCTGCCTGCCTGCCATGCACGGCAAAGCCCTGACTTGGGCTGAGGTGGCACCTTGGCCCAGCTTGGCTCCAAGACAATGCTGAGATTGGACAGGTGGAAAGATGGGGAAGGAGGGACAAGGGAATCGCACCCAAAGGTCGTTGGTTTGAAAACTTAAACAGCACACTTATGCACACTCTCTTCTCTGCCCATATCAAAAAGTACTGGGTTAACGGTGAAAAGGGAGTTTGCCAGGCGAGTACAATTACGAGACACTGTCCCCAGTGTTCGTAATTTGTTCCAACGCTTAAAATGGTCTTTGACCTAAGAATTGAGGTACAAGTGATCTCTTGCGTGGAACAAATAAGACAGAATTAGCCTCACACTGTTAGAGGTATAGAACATCAAAGCCCCTAGGTGGATGATTGAGTTGTGCAAAGCCTCTGACCTTGACACTGCAGTTTACATCCCCCTCCCTTCTGGCAGTTGATGCAAAAAAGATTGAGATTGGATCATATGCAAAAGGCACAAATTCCATGTAAAACTGTATTTATTCTGAATTTAATCAACGTTATTTTTTGCACTGACAGTATTCTCACAGGACCAGGATGCAATGTGTCACATTTTCAGCAGTATGGATATGCTTTTTCGCAACCAGAGTCTTCCTTTATAATTGCTCTTGAAACAATCTATTAATATAACAAGTGTGTGTATGAGATAAACAGAAGAAGATCTGGGTAACATGTAAAGTACACACAGCTGAACAGAAACCACAGAAACCCATGAACTGATTATTTTATCTAAAAGAAAGTCTGATTAACTGAAGTGGGAAACTGCACTGCAAAAACACCACAGCAGTGAATGCTTAACACATAAGGTGTCACCAAAATTATAAATAGAAACTTGCAGATTACCACTTTTACATCAGTTAACATTTATGAATGCATAAGCAGCAGAGCAGGAGGCGTGACATGTCTCACAGGAGGGAACATGCAGGGAGAGAACTAGGGCTGTCTCCGGGGCAGCCTGCACTGGTGCACACACAGATGGTTAGGAAGTAGCAAAGGGAAGATAATTCTCATACGGTGCATTTACATGCCGTTAAGTAACTAAGTTATTGTTAGCTTCTGCCCCCTGTGTCATGTATGGAATGTTTCTCCACTCATTTATTCAGGTTTTTACTTTAGTTTATCACCTGTCTGTATATCAATTAAAATATAACAGCCTTGATTTAGACATTGAGGGAAACTCTTGAACATACTGAACATCTGCATGTGAGGGGTAAATGTCCTTCAAATTAAACAACAGAATATGTAACTGCCCTCTAGAACGACACATGTTCTGATCTGATGCTGGTATGTCGGCAGGACAACATCATTTGTGTGTGCGCTTCGAAAACCGCTACAAACCGCTGTTGCAAAATAAATGTTTTATGATGACACTTTGGTTTGGTTAAGTTAAGGCACAAAAACAACTTCAGGTTTAGAGAAAGACCATATTTAGGGTTTAAAAAAGGATTTAGTTAAGGTTCGGGAAACATCAGGGTTTAGGTTAATATCGACGTTAAGGTTTGGGGTGCTTTGTCATCATGGTTACAATAATATCGGGAAACAAACAGCACTCCGATGTATTGGTTTGCAGTCCAACCACTCTGAACTCCTCCCTCTGTGGTCTTTTTAAACATCACCTGACTTCCTCAAATGCTTCGATCATAATTACTACTTTACCGCAGTAAATCAAGTGACAAAAGGTTAACCAAAGTAACTGACTGGGAAAAGAGAATGTCAGGTGAAAAAGGCAAATATGGAAAAGAAGATAAACTGATTATTTCATTATCATTACCTCTTATGCAAGCTATTGTGTGACACATGAGCTGCCGTTTGGACGATGAGATTCTAAAAATATTGTTACGACAAGTAGAATCATGTTTAATTAATTGGCTTTTTGCATTTCCCCTCATCATTGTGAAGCACCTATCAGAGTGTCTTTTGACAGGTTGAGGCCAGGTGGCACCACAATGCGACGCCTCTGATTCATTACTCTTGTCTGAATGTATTGCTGGCTTGACTGGAGGAGATGGTGGCATCTGAAAAAACAAGTAGCAACATTAATCCAAACTCTGTCACTTTACTCCAATCTAAGCCTCCCCAGCAGCGTCAATAAGACGCTGCAAAGAAACAAACGCAGGGCTGGCAAGCTAATCCAGGGATCACATTGTGAATCACAAATGCGTGTCCGCTCTCCCCCTCTCTCATCTCCACAGTCAGACGGAAATAGCCGGCTTTGGCACTGCCATAATTTTGCCTCTCCTCTCCCTCTGTACTCCCTGTTCTCCCCCATTCATTTCAAAGCAGGGGGGCTGAAGTTATTGCATGTGACACACTCACAGAGAGAAAAGGGGGAATTGCATTACTCCACAAAGCCGAATGCCATGGGAGCAGGATGAGATGTATCTCCTGCTGCTTAATAACAGTGGAATTATTTAAAATAGAAGCAGCAGCAGCGGAATATTTCTGAATCTATATTTAGATTGGGAGTGATGCGTCTCACCCTCACAGCCTCGGATCATGTGGGATTCGCAGGGGGAGACATGGAAATGCATCAGGGTGCAGATCAATCTAGCGGGCTGCACGGAGCCGTGTAGAAAGATGCTGTTTTCACATGATCAGGCTGAAATGTTTTATCAAAGTCGTGTTCACAGTGACCATTTCAGCATAACAGCACTGAATAATCTGACCGAATTTCAATACATCTAAAGCACTGAAACGAGGTAGAATTTACAGAGTAAGCTACAAAGTTAAGTTTCCTTTGTAGAATCTTTTTATAAGCAATCTATTTTTAGCATTCGGTGCCATCACTACACCAGCTGGATACAGGATTATCTACTATTCATTCATTCACTAACCAATAACCTGACTCCCAGCTTGCTTTCACTCTGCAAATTTCAAACATTATTACTTTCCAGGACCTTGTCGCAGCAAATTGCATTGATTAGCCAGCTCTAAATCAGTTGGCTTTAATTACATTTACCCTGCATTGCTTCGCTAAGCATATAGCTCCACATGATTGCAACTAAATTGCAATTAGCCAATGCCCCAAGCACCCAAGAGAAAGACATAATGGTAGATTCATGTAAATCGATTGTACGCGGGTGTTGGACTGAGTCTAGTCATCTGCAAGAATAATGAGGTGCTTCAGAAGTTGGCAAACAATGTCACTGTTCTTTTATTGATAGAAAATGGCCGATTGATTTTCACGAGGAATAATGAGTGGAATAAGTTATTATCTGCAATACTGTTATACTGTTATCTGTACATCAAATGAAGAGTCTCAGTCTCACATAAAGCTTACAGTAACCAGTAGGCTTTTTCAGTTGTTCAGTTGTTGTTGTATCCTCACTAGGAGTACCAAGAAGTTATGGGGCCAAAGGAATCAATAGAAAAGCGATGCCAAAAGTGAAAATCGAAGAATGCTGTTTTCATTCATTTGCTTACTCTATAATAAGACATCCACTAGCTTTGGCCAATACTTTGATACTTTCTTTGCTTACCCTTTAGCCTTTTACCGCCCACCATTCTGCCTACAGGACACTATCACTAAGTAAAACTTTAAAAGACTTCGAGTATGAAAAGTTTTATGACTATAAACATGTAATAAACTTGTCTTTTCATTCACTGTGGTTAAAAAAAACTATTATTTCCGTAATTAGTTAAATTAACAGTTATTTCCTTTATTAATCAATTACCAAAGAAAAACATCAAATACTCACGTTTGACATGCTGGAACCAGTGACATACACAATAAACAGATCCCCAAAGTTGGATGGGTGTTAAAAGGTTAATGGCTGGTTGTGGCTAAAACAGCCAAACTTGTAAGATAAAGGACTTAAGAATACATTTACATATTAAATTTGTAAAGTGACAGGTTTGATAAAGAAACTGGGGAAATAAGTGTCAAAGTCAAATTAAACTGTAAAATGTAATGGAGTTTATTCTGTATGAGGGTCTGAATGTGTGCAGTCTGTATGAAGCAGCGTGAGTGGCTGGTCAACAGATGGTAGTGTTGACAGGGTGCTGGGTTCATTGGCCAGCTCTGCGTACAGTTAGCAGGGGGTCACCAACAAGCCCTGGGATGTTTGTCTCTGCCGGTCCCATTTTATCACACGCACACCTTGGCTGTGAAAACCCTGCTTAGTGCAGCTCCATGCAGTTGTCAAAAATAACAACCTACCACAACGGTATGATTTATGGACTGAGGTTTGTACTATCTGACAAAGCAAACAATCCTGCTCTGTAGCTGCAGATACGAAACTTTGTTCTGAGCTCTGATTCTGTTTTAGATGAATGAGCGACAGTGTGTGCTGAAGGTCAACCTGAATGCCAGCCTTCAGTCAAGGAGAAGATTTTTGTTTTCAGCTCAAAGGAGCATGGCATGAGGACTATCAGCAAACACGTCAAGAAATGAGCACATGAAAGGAAGCGAGTCTGCACGTGCACACACACACTCTCTCTCTCTCTCTCTCTCTCTCTCTCTCTCTCTCTCTCTCTTCTCTCTCGCTCAGGCTTACCGGAAAGTAGAGAAGCAGAGCTCCACACAGGATGGCCTCGAGTAGGACTAGACCTGATGCTCTGATACTCTGCCAAAAAAGAAAGATGCACAAATGATTAAACTTCTCATTTTTGCATGCATTAATTCAAGATTATTGGCCACTTAGGGCATGCGCAACAAACGGTCATACTATGTGTTTTTGGCAAAGTGTTAGTCCAATATTCACTCTTCTTTTAGCTCTGGTTTTGTCTAGGGGGAAATGTTTGGCTCCTCATCAGCTAAACGCTAAATTATTGTACATTCACTAGTTAGTTGCTAACTGTGCTGGCTGTCGTTTGGTGCTGTTGCTGGAGAGAATGAGGGCTGTGACAGTGATTAAAAACATTAAAATTGCATGCCAAAACAAAAAAAAACAATGAGCTGAAAGAAACTAAAACGCTACATAGAGCTGAAGGGAACTGCAGAGTCGGGTGATAATTCTCTGTAGGGTTGTATATTACATGTAGTCATTTGATCCATTGTTGATATTCAAATACATACATACATATTACATTGGCTTTAATTTTTATATTCACTTATACAAGATACTATGCAGAAAGTCTTATTTGAAATAAAATGGCCATCATCCAAATGGAAAATTACAACTGAATACTGTTTTTCCTTATATAGGACAGTTTGGAATATCTTTTAAAATGCTCCTCACACTGCACGAGGTCTAAACCAGTCTAAAACAGCAGGATATCATAATATTCCAGGAAAATTTAGAAGGGGAAGAAAGCTTTCTTCTTTGCTGGATGAAAGAGAACAAAGCAAAGTGAAAGCTCCCGCCTCAAGGACTCACCATTGTGAGTGTGCACTTCTTGTGCAAGATATTTAACAACATATCGTCCTCTAATTGACACGATGCTTGAGGGGGCTTTCAAAGAGAAGAAGTGTGCTCCACATTTAAAAATACATACAAAAGACAACACAAAACACTAACCACAGCTATGCAGACCAGAAGAGTGATTTTATATCGCATTTAAAATATTTTAAAAAAACATAAATCTTTAACCCAAATGAATTTGTCTATGAAAATGAACTGTTTTTAATTTATCAGAAAGTCTGTGAAGAGCTTTGAAACTAAGCTCCTAAACTTAGTTTGATAAGATTAATGGGGATTACATAAATGGAGATTACATAATTATGACAAAGCCCTGGAGTATCTAAAAGTTTCATCTGCTTTATTAATGGGAGCGATCCTTTGTTCAACCCTGGTTGATGTAATGGCAGAGTCTTCAGGTGTGTGGGAGATAGAGCAGCTAGATGTTCCCCCTGTGAGCAATGCGGTGAATCTTCAGGCTAATCATCACATGTCTAACGCTAAAGACAAAGCCTTCAATTAAGTCAATTAATTGAAAATAGCAGCTAAAGCCTCAGAGGATTTTATAAGTCCAGACCGAATTGCCAACTTTTATTTAAATTAAGCTGAAACGCAACACAAGGTAATAGTAATAGTACACAGCTTTACCGAATGTTACTGTTGATATATCAATGATTCAGCTAAAAGCCAGTTCATGAAACCTTCTGCATTTGCAGGGTAAAATCTTTTCGGTTCGGTAGAAACTGATGCAATTTGTTGGGAATAAGACTTGAGCAGATATTAATAGAAACAGACGCCATGGCTGAGTAGATAAACAGTAAGAGACAGCACTCTCATTAATGAGCAGAAACACAAAAAATCTCAATCAATTATCACTATACTCAATAATATTCCAATAATCTGACAATTTTCTGGTGTTCTGGATTTAAAAAAACATGTTGTAGCACCATACCACACTACTGAATATTACTTAGAGACTTAGATACTTTGTTGAAATGCTTATATCTACTGCCTGAGCTAAATCTTAATCCATACAGAGCATTAAGTTTTGTGTTTGCAAAATAGTTTCACCTTTTGATGATGCAGTGACAACATCATCACCCTCCAGGGAAATGTGTAAAGTATATTATTAAGTAAAGTGATTAAATTAGATGGACATGACATTATCAGCCTGAACCAAATCAACATTTCTCACTGCCACATTTAACAAATATATGTTATGAATTAAATACCAACACAGATTTCATCGTTAGAAAGTTGCATATTATCACTCAAACTGTGAAAGATGAAGCGGTCAGAGGCCTGATGTATAAATCAGAGTACATTTGCCTTAGTGCTCTCATTTGCACAAATTGGTCACTGTCCAAGTTGCTGATGTTGATCATTGATCTGTGTCTGAGCTGTTTGAAATGATTTCAAAGCTTTATCGTGACCACCCACATACGGATTCACTGGTTTATTGATCCAAAGGGCTTTGATGACCATACGGTCCAGAAGACATCAAACAGGTAACTGATGTGATGTTGTAATTGTAAATTGAATCTGTGTAGTTCTCTCTTTTGCACTGCAGAGTTTTCAAACTTAACTAAAAAACTGAGAATATTACTGTGTGGTGAGCTATTTTAAGATTTTAATAATGCAATAATAAAGGAGAAAAAGATTTAGCGTCTCTGTAGCAATCTCAGTTTAGCCCTCATGACAATGCCTGTCTATGGGCTCATTAATCATTCAAAACAATGTCAGTTTAAATTATAATAAATGCATCAAACTCTGTAAGGGAATGTTTGTTATGATTACAAGTACACATACCTTATTCCTGCGAAAGTGGTAGACGAGTACCATGCTAACAAAGACAATCAGCAAGCAGAGGCACTGGAAGGAGAGCACAGCCAGTCGAAGAGCCCCGTCCTCTCGTGCCACACAGGGGGTGTCGTCCTTACAGTAGGCACAGCCCTGCTGGCATGGGAGGCAGTCGCTGGATGACCCCTCGTCCGCATTGGGACCGCTGTCTGCAGCTTTTCCCTTTTTCCCCATCCCTGTCAAAAACAAGATTAAGAAATAGAGAGTTTAGTTCCAAATATTTCTGGCAAGAAATCTCAGTAACTGACCCAGTTCTCTTTTCTGTCACTGGCATTGATCAGAAAGCATGTCGACCCTCTGCAGACATGCTCACTTTTGTGCTTTAGAGTGACTCCTAACTATGGGGTACTTCTATCCCAGAGGGTACAAGACTGTGGAGTAGCTCAGCTAATTTGAATAAAAGCTGGTTGATTATAAAAATGTATACATATTATTGATGTTAAACCTAAAAATTGAATTCATAAATAGTCTTTTTTTTTTGCTAGAAATAATGGATAAACAGTTTTTCTAAAAGTAGGAAAACAGACTTTCTATGCTGAGAGTGAAAACATTTAGTTTCTGCAAAACTTGTGACTTGTAAATATGCAGTTCATGCAAATGTTATTTTAACACAATGTTTTTGATGCTTTCTTATTATGTTTCCATGATTTTTTATAGATCATATATCGATATAGATTGATTAGAAGCAGATTGTGTAGCAACAAGTATCATCAACATACTGAAATTTCTTCTGGATCTGTTGAGACTAGTATTAAAAGATAAAACGGATGAAGTTCTTCTGTGACAGACTGAAGCATCCCCAGTGTATATATGCTTATCCTCTCTGACCTTACAAGGATTCATCGACATTGTGTCAACACAAGGGAGATGGATCTATATGTGTGAACATGAAAAGTCAACACTGCTGCACCTTGTTCAGTCACTGGCATACCGTACAAGGCTAATAACTGTGGTTTCATCTGTAAAAATCACACAGAGGACATGACAGAACTTAGTAATTTTATCCCTCAAAAGTACCATGGGGAGACTAAAGACAGGGCAGGTTGGCTGAAACCATAAAAATCTATGCTTTTGGAAGCTAGACTCAGGATCTGAAAGTAAATGTATTGAAGAATTACCACTGAGGTTGCGGCATGAACCAGCCACTGAGCCACAAACTGCTTTAAAAGAAGCTGCTCTGCTGCCAAAAGTGGAGGAGTTTGGTCAATGGTGAATGTTCCCCCCCAGGGTAAACTAAGGTAAAAACCCAAACAAACCCAGTGGACAACAAGAAGCTAGTGGGCTATTGGTTTGCTTAAAAATCCCCTGAGAGATGCCCATATGGTTGGACAGATAACAAATGGTGGACTTATATAGAGCTTTTATGGAGCTCTTTATTGGAAGCAGCCATTGTCTCAGAGATTTGCAGGGATTTTGCCTTTAAAAAGAAACTGGCCTATTTTTCAAAGCTATGACTCTGCACATCATTGATCCATTCAAAAGGACTACTTATCTCCGTAGCAATGAGTCACATCCTTCAGCTCATTCTCATTGGTTTGCTTCTCTTACAGTTTTCTGGCAGTAACAGCTATAGTAACTTCTCCCACATATTTATATGCAAGATCCACAGTGGAAGATCACTGAGAGACAAAGGAAAGTGAGTTGCACTGGCTTTCTCTGCAAAGGAGTGTCAAGGATGTCCCCTTGTGGATTAACAGGCTTGTTATTGGCCCCATGGTGGGCCAGACTGCTGCACTACGCCTCACTAACAGGCTTGCCTCTCCTCTCTATTATTGTGTTCTCAAAGACATACACACACACACACACACACACACACTGAGCTTTCATGCAGACTTGCACACATGAACACACATGTTTGTGTGCCCTCGCAGCACAGCAAACAGCACAAACAGGCAGAAGCAGACAGCCCAGATATCCAGCGCTCTGGGAAAGAAATTGTAGAGCCTTTTTTGGTTTTCTGTGCATGAAGGAAAAATATTTTAGTGTAAAAAATAAGACGATCCAAAAAATTTAGTGAAGGATGAGGGGAGGGTAATGGGTGAGAAAGGGGGTAAAATTGAGATGGACACAGTGGAACATGCTGCATGAGGTTTGAGTGGGATGAGACAGGAGGGAGAGTGGATCGAAATGAAAGTGTGGCAGCGAGAGTGATGGAGGGCAGGTGAAGACCACTGGGGTTCTGTGTGTGCAAAAGCCTTTTTTAATTAACTCACAGCAGACAGAATAAACTGGGAAAGTAACCACCATTAAAAAGATATTTCCCATCTTGAACCTGATTAGCCTCCCCAGGTACGGGGCTACTTCAATTTTCAGACAGGGCAGTAATGCCTGTCTCTTTCACTGCCATCGTTATATAATGAAGATGCTATAATCTAATATATAAGGTGATAGTCAACATTATGTGCAACTTTGACAGTCACAAACTTATAAAATTAGCTCATCTGCTGCAGTTCTACTAAATGAGAAGAAAATAGATTACATGAAAAGACCTCTCTCCCAAACAGGCTGCTTTGTTGTTTTTTAACCTTTGCTGACAAATTACTTGAAATGTGATCTCATAAAATGTTTAGATGAGCCTAAAATGCATCTGAAGGTTGTTCTGGATAAAGGACACAGAGCAGAGTGTCCAACCCCATTGAATAGCTGGTAACTAACATGAGCATGAGGAATTAGTGTATAGAAACATTAGAATGTGACTTTTTAGTTGTTTCTTGGTTATTGTATTGATGTTAACCCTTGGAACCTTAACTTGTTACCAGTTTTAACTCGTACTGGCTAAATTAAGGCTGTATATAACCTTGATTGGCCTTGTAAAAACTGGTATTACTGGGTACAGCAATGATTCTCAACCTTTTTGGTGTCAAGTACCCCCCAATAAATACAAATCAGGCTGGTGGCCCTATATTTGATAAGCTGTACTCTCAGGGATCCTCCTATATTATACTCCTAAAAAATCCCTTTTAAGTTCATGTACATTTAAAAACCTGGAAACTAAATGGAAAACTCTTACTGTTCTGTACTGTCAAATATCATTAAAAAGGTTTTTTTGTCACCATATTTGGTTTAAAATTAGCGTGACAAATTATAAAGCTGTTACATGATTTTGAACGTTATATACTTTTGTATTGTGTTTCCAAATGCTCACAGGTAGTTCAAATTGAATTCTGAGAATGTGAGTTCCCAACCCCAGATTGTACAAGTCTAAAGTATACAGTGCCTTCACCAAAAAGTATTGAGATAGTTATCAAAACAAGTTCTTCTGATGTGTGACCACTTTACAGGGACTAGACATTCTTATTATGACACATTAGTGACAATATATTTCATCTGTTATCACTAAAACAGTTCCTGACTCACTTGTAAAACCATTGACAGCCACTCTGTTGGGGTGGTAGAATCCTTTCTTGCAGTGGCACTTGTACTTGTCCAAGACAAATCCATGACCGTGGATCGGCATACACTGTGAAGAGAAACAAACATATACATGAACCACATAGAAAAGGCAGAGCATGCAATTTGAACTTGAATTTCCTTGACTATAAATTGTTGAAAAAAATTCAAACTCATCATCTTGTAATACAGACTAATAAGACACCAATATAAAAGCAATTAAAATGTGTCAATACTGAACCAAAAGTAAAGTGGCTGTAGCTGAAAATCAGTCAACAGAATGTGGGATCAAACATCTTGTAGGAAGGACAAGGGTCTAATTATTTAAGTTGTGAGATTCGTCTCTCTGTCTTACTGTGCCTTTTCGCCACTCAATATTAAATTAGTGAAGCCTCTTCCATTTGATTGAAAGTCTGATAGGAAACAGACTGAGGGAGAGAAAACCACAAGGGGCGTCAGGGGGCATCTTTGGCAGACTTTGTGTGCTGTTTGCCAAATTACAAGATATAATTAATATCTAAATTAAGAACCGACTTATTTGCATGATTAAAGGAGAACCATTAATTCTATTTCTTGTGGGAATGAGATTCCATCTTCTCTTCTGTATGAACACATTTGGGTCATTGACATGAAGCTGTAATTTTTCTTGCTCTTGCTCTCTCCCTAAAACTACATAACAGTCTTATTTTCACACAACGTGAACATGTTTTTCTAAGCAGAGATGATAATGAATTATGAATCCCAAGAAACAACGAGCGGCCCAGAATAGCAACGGTACTTCAGCTGACACTTGACACGCTATGAAGTGTTTGTGACCCGACTGTGAGATCTAGAGGCAAGGCCAGTGGCAGCGTCTAAATGAAGCATCAGTCACTGTGATGCTCCTCACAGCGGACTGGACTCTGCACGTCTTAAGAGGCAGCTATTTCTGATCTCTAAAGGTCCTTGGTAAGGTCTGAACGTATTTTTCAGTCTGAGAGTGAAGGCCCTCAGTCAAAGCCTTGGAGAGGCCGACCAGGGCTCAAAAGCACAAGGTAATTACCAGGTTACTGTTCAGCGAACAAGTTCCTCAAACTAATTCCACTGAGGAGACCGAAGCATTTAAAGTGGTACTAATCTGTTGAAGATGTCTACTTGTTTCAGTGTTGACAGCCTTGAAAAAGGTGTACGGTACTCTGGAACTACGTATTTATATATGTATATTATTGTAGATTATACAGACAGGTTTTCTTATTGTATGTATTTAACGTGATTAAACATTAGCTCCAGATACCATCATGTATTGCACCTCTTCGCAGTTTGTACATGTTAACGATGAATCTTCAACAAATACTACAGTTAGTCATGGAGTTCCACAAGGTTCTCTGCTTGGACCAATACTATTTACTTTATATATGCTCCCTTTAGGCAACATTATTAGGAATCACTCCATTAACTTTCACTGTTATGCAGATGATACGCAGGTATATCTATCGATTAAGCCCGATGAAATTAATCAATTTTCTAAATTACAAACATGTCTTAAGGACATAAAATCCTGGATGAGCTGCAATTTTCTGATGTTAAACTCAGAAAAAAATGAAATTCTTGTTCTTGGCCCCAAAAACCTTAGAGACTCACTGTCTAAAGATATAGTTACTCTAGATGGCATTACCTTGGCCTCTAGCACAACTGTCAGGAATCTTGGAGTTATCTTTGATCAGGATTTGTCATTTAACTCCCACATAAAGCAAACCTCCAGGACTGCCTTCCTTAATTTACGTAATATTACAAAAATAAGACACATCCTATCACAGACAGATGCAGAAAAACTAATCCATGCATTTGTTACTTCAGGGCTGGATTACTGCAACTCTTTATTATCAGGTTGCCCCAATAAGTCCATTAAAACGCTCCAATTAATTCAGGACGCTGCAGCACGAGTACTGACAGGAACTTGAAAAAGAGATCACATCTCTCCTGTACTAGCTTCTCTGCACTGGCTCCCTGTAAAATTTAGAATAGAATTTAAAATCCTCCTCCTCACCTATAAAGCTCTTCATGGTCAGGCCCCTTCATATCTTAAAGAGCTCATAGTACCCTATTACCCCTCTAGAACACTACGTTCTCTGAATGCTGGGCTACTTGTGGTTCCTACAGTCTCTAAAAGTAGAACAGGAGCCAGAGCCTTCAGTTACCAGGCTCCTCTCCTGTGGAATCAGCCTGCAGTTTTGGTTCGGGAGGCAGACACCCTCACCACATTCAAGAGTAGGCTTAAGACATTCCTCTTTGATAAAGCTTATAGTTAGGGCTGGATCAGGTGACTCCTGAACCATCCCTTAGTTATGCTGCTATAGGCCTAGACTATCGGGGGATTTCCCATGGTGCACTGAGCTCCTCTCTTCCTCTCTCTTTCTGCACTCATTCATGTCCCATTAATGCATGTTACTAACTTCACTTCTTCCCCGGAGTTCTTGTGCTTTCTCGTCTCGCAGGTTCTTATCGATCCTGGTGGAGCCTCCTGCCATGGTCCTGCTAGATTGCCATTGCCAATACTGTTGTTGCTGTGCACCTGTCTGTCTGTCTGTCTGTCTGTCTCTCTCTCTCTCTCACGCCAACTGGTCGAGACAGACGACCACCCACCTAGAGCCGAAGGATCTGTCCTAGGTTTCTGCCTTTTAACAGGCAGTTTTTCCTTGCCCTTGTTGCCAAGTGCTTGCTCATGGTGGTACTGTTGGGTCTCTGTAAATAATGCTATAAAGAGTTCGGTCTACACCTGCTCTATTTGAAAAGTGTCCTGAGATAACTTCTGTTATGAATTGGTGCTATACAAATAAAATTGAATTGAATTGAATTGAATTGAATTCATCACTTGTGATTTTAGGTAGATAAAAGGTCCCAGACACTATGAATTTTAATTATCAAATTCATTTAACAGCAGTAAGAAGAGTTCTATCATATTAAATATATCCTACCACATTGAGGCAATATTTTTGCTTTGTGGTTGTACTTTCAACATTGTTAAGCTGCCTTTTCAATTGCTAGGGGCAAATTGCTACTGTATGTGTAATTTAAAAGATGACAATCACCCAACAGCTCCCCTCTGCTCTATAGACCATTTTAGCATCTTTCAGCTCATTGTTTAGATTTTACGATCCACAACTCTACTGTTTTGGTTCACTCTCACCACTCTCATCAACCTTGTTTGTTGTTTTCAGCAATACGATTCTGATAAACCCACTGCACACTAACTGAGCAACAGCTAACGGTTAGCAAATATAGCTGGTAAACATGGTGGAGCAATTGAGGCAGATATTTCACTCCGGAAATGGTGGTGACCAAAACATTGGGAGTGAATACTGGACTTACATTCCACAAGTTGCCAGAACACACAACTTCAAATGAATGCTAATATTGCTCTCTGTATGCTGGATGGGTAACTAGGCAACTGTTAGTCTGTTAATGCTGCTTAAATCATAGTATCCAACTCCTCTATGGATTAGACGGAGGAAAGTGATCATGTAGCCAGCAAGTGCAAGCAAGAATGCATATTCCAGGGAACAATGAGAAAGAGTGTTTATCTAATCTAATAAATGGTTTATAAGAACTATTTTATGTTGCGTGAGCAATGCAGGTTTATGTTTTGTATGTATTAATGTGCATTTGTGGGTTAGTGCTGCAAAGGAAACTAACTACAACCAATTACAACAGTTGTAGTTCAATACATTCTGCGGGTGTCAAAGTGTACATTTCATTTGGGGCGAATTGGATGAATTGGCAGGATAGAAGTTCCACCAAATTGGTGCCTGTCGTAAGGTTTCTGAGTTCTGTATCACTTCATAAAAATGTGCCTGGTGAAGCTTTAAATGAGCACTGTGGTGCAATGTGAGTCAGGTAACAGATTTCATTTTTGATTCCCCAACAGTTGTCTCCTCAGGACAGGTGAAGGGTGCTGCAGCTACTGCCTGCCACTGTTAATATGCCCACCTCTCCAAGACACTGGAAGAAACAGCCTGAGACAGGTGTGTGTGTGAGTATGCATATTTTCCGTGTGTGACAGGAAGAGCCAGAAATAGCCCTGGCATTGCATCCCACTCCTGCCTGCTGCTGTGATTGATGCGGGGGCTCGGATGTGGAGTATGTTGAACTCGGGAGCTGCCTCCCAGCTACCTGCCACCAGTCACATGTGATCTTAGCGGCAGTGGTCCAGCTAGGGGACAGGTTCATATCAACAGGCTATAAAGTGGAGCTTTTGGACCAGATCTACACAGGGATAAGGAGCTGAGGAGACACCTGGGATGAATGTCAAGGTGTATGGTGAATTGATAGATTGAGGATGATTTCTGTCCTAAAATGAGATTAAAATGATTTGAAAAACACAACACCTGTTCTCACACAAATATTGATTAAAAAACAACAAACAATTGCTTATTCCAGTTTCTTAAATGTGTGGATTTTCTGCTTTTTTTCTGTTATATATTTGACAGTAAATAAAATACTTTGGACAGTTGGTCAGATAAAACGTCACCTATGGTTCTCTGAAATTCCGATGAACATTTTACATAACAGACTAAAACATAACTAACTAAATGTAAAATACTGTCATGGTCTATTACAGGATTACATTATTTTCAAATATACAATATATATAGCTAAATCGTTTCTAATTATAAAGGAACATACTGTTCTAGTATTTCAAATACAGCACACATAGGAAATGACCTATTTCTATATGCATGACATATGCTATTAATTAAGTGTGATGATGTTCTGTTGATAGTGAGCAACTCAGGCAGCCATATTGTTCCATCCATAATGAGCTGAAGGCATCAACTGCTCTGTCAGGGAGCAAAAATCACATCAAATTAACTGATTTAATTAATTAGGTCAATATGATTGAGAATAATGTGTTTGACTGTACAGAATCTCTAACAGTTGTTTCTGATAAGATCTGACTTGGATCTGACTTGGATGAAATAGAAATAGATTTATTTTCCCTTTACTGTGACAAAAATAAATGAATTATGAAAAAATAGTGTGTCTGTTTCATTCCATCTGTTCCCGTTATCTTCCTGTGGATACAGAAATAAG